CTCCTCCTTCTCCTCTACTTCCTCCTCCCCCTCATCATCCTCCTACCTGCTGCTCCTCCCTCCTCATGATCGTCGTCAGTCTGGTCATCATCCTGAGCAGCATTCGCACCGCCATCAGCGTCGCCGACACCACCACCGCCACCGCAACTTCGCCGCCCTCCTCCTCTTCTTCCTACTGCTCCTCCTCCGCCTCCTCTTCTTCCTCCTCCTCCTCGCCCCTCTCCCCCGAGTCGATATTCGAGGTGGGGCGCGCGCGCGCGCGAAGGGCGTGCAGCGCGCCCGAGCCGCGATGCCATGAGACTCCTCCTCCCTCGGGTTCTCTTCAGACCCGAGGTCGACGGGCACCTGGTGGACCCGGATCTGCGGACGCAGGCAGCGGCTCCTGGTGCGGAGTGGACCGTTGCGCTGATCGGCAAGAGCAGTGGCGGCGCCCAGCGCCTCTGGGATGGCGGCGCCGTCCGCGAATCTGGGGTATGGCCTCCGGGGCATGCTCATCGGAGGTCAAGCCTGGGAGCTCATCAGGGGCATGACTGTGGGGGCGGGACGCCTGGGTCCGTGCAGGCAACCGGTCAAGTCGCAGCAGGAGGGGGGCCACCCCTCACTGGCGACGCGCAGGCCGACAACGCCGCCGTGGCGCACGAGAGCGGGTGGGCACTGGAAGGAGGCCATCTTCCCGTCCAGCACGTCGACGCAGGGCCAGGTGGACAGCAAGAGCCCGGTGAGCTCCAGGGACGGCCAGATCTGGATTCAGAGGTGGGCGTGCAGCTTGCGTCGGCGAGATGGTGGAGGCCAAGGGCATTGGCTCGGCGCTTCCGCGTGTCGGCGGCGACGGCATGACCAAGCAGGAGGAGTTCCCCGCCATCTCGCCGTTTCCTGTCCTCCCTGGCGGCGACGGCGGCATCAAGGGTTCTGCCTTTGACGACGTCGACGGGTACGAGGAGGACTACTTCGGCGGCAACGGGGAGGACGAGGAGGAGGTCAGCCTGGCCGAGGAGGAGCCACTGGCGGAGCTCGGTGGCTTCGACAGCGTCCTGACGGAGAACCAGGAGGCCTTCGCGAAGGTGGAGGAGGCACGGGAACAGAGGCTCTCCCAATGGCGCCTTGGCACGGAAATGGTGGTGAAGATCGTCGGCGTCGACGGCAAACGCGACGGCTGCACCACACAAAGCAAGGATAAGTAGAAAGCATAAGCATCATCATCATCAGCAGCATCATTATCATCAGTAGCATCAGCATCGTCAGCATTATTATCAGCAGCATCATCATCAGCAGCATCATCATCCTCAGCATCAGCATTATTATCAGCAGCACCATCAGCATCATCATCGTCATCATCATCATCATCATCAGCATCACCAGCATCAGCAGCATCATCGTCGTCAGTATCATCACCATCATCAGCATCATCAGCAGCAGCATCATCATAAGCATCAGCAGCATCAGCATCAGCAGGATCATCGGCAGCAACAGCAACATCATCAGCATCATCATCATCATCAGCATCCCCATGATCATCAGCATCATCAGCAGCACCATCATCATCATCATCAACAACATCATCATCATCATTATCATCATTAGCATCGTCATCATCATCAGCAGCATAATCAGCATCATCACCATCATCAGCATCATCACCATCATTAGCAGCATCATCACCACCATCAGCATCATCAGCATGAACAGCATCAGCATCAGCATCAGCATCATCAGCGGAATTTGCATCATCATCACAAACATCATCAATGTCATCAGCATCCTCATCTTCAGTAGCATCAGCATCAGCATCAGCATCAGCATCATCCTCATCATCACGAGCATCACCATCATCATCAGCGTCACTAGCATTCGCATAATCGTCACCACCACCATCATCATCATCATCATCATCATCATCAGCAGCATCAGCAGCATCCTCATCATCATCATCATCATCATCATCATCATCATCATCGCCATCGGCATCACCACCATCATCATCAGCAGCATCATCAGCATCATCACCAGCAGCAGCGCCATCAGCAACACCAGCATCAGTGTCATCATTGCCACCATCATCACCAGCAGTATCATCATCAGCATGATCATGTACATCATCATCGTCATCATCATCATCAGCATCATCATCATCATCATCATCATCATCATCACCAGTGTAATCTTCTGCATTCTCACCCTCCTTATGCCCATACTGCTCATCATCCCCATCCTCATCCCTATCCTCATCATCACCATCGTCATCATCATCATCATCATCAGCAGTATCATTATTTCATCATCATTATCATCACTAGCATCATTCATCATCATCAGCAACAGCAGCAGTAGCAGCAACATCATTGTCATCACCATCAGCATCTGCAGCATCATCACCCTTATCCTCGGCATCATCGTCATCAGCATCGTCATCATCATCATCATCGTCAATCATCATCCATATCAATACGATCCTCCTCCTTATCCTCGTCATCAGCATCATCATCATCATAATCACCATCACCATCATCTTCATCACCATGACCAGCATCAGCATCATCATCACCATCATCACCATCATCGTCAACAGCATCATCATCATCGTCATCATCATCATCATCCCCATGACCACCATCACCATCGTGTCATCATCATCAGCATCATCAGCATCTTCATCATCATCATCATCATCAACAGCATCATCATTAGCACCATCATCAGCATAATCAGCATCATCAGCATCATCAGCATCATCATCAGCATCATCACCACCATCACCATCATCACCGTCAGCATCAGCATCATCGCCATCATCATTCATTATCATCATCGTCGTCATCAATCATGAGCATCATCGGCATGACCGTCACCATGCTTCCCCCTCCTTCTTCTCTTCCACCTCCCCAACCTCCTTCTCCTACTCCGCCTTCTCCTCCTCCTCCTCCTCCTCCTCTTCCTCCTCCTTTTCCTCCTGCTCGCCGCCATCGCCGTCACAGCGACAGCCAGCAGCAGCAGCAGCAGCAGCAGCAGCAGCAGCGCCTCGGCAACACCGGAACGGCGCGCGCGGGAGCAGGGCCGCGGCGCAGCGGCAGCCGGGGAGGGCGGCGCCTCGTCCACCGCCGCGGCGATCTCGTCCATCTGGGGCGCGGCCCCAGAAGGGAGGGGAGGAGGACTCCAGAGATGCCTTGCCGCGTAGCGATAGCAGGTGCACCGACTGCACCGACAACAAGCAGGTGCAGGTGGGCCCTAGACTGAGCACCGACAGAGGCAGAGACTCTAGAGCATCGCAGGCAGGTGCGGGCGGACTCTAGAAGCGTTCCGCCTGCACCTGCTGCAGGTGCTTGCTTCCCTGGGCTTGCTCAGCTCTGCTGCGGACTTTGGGCCAGCGTCCCAAGCTAACACGTCATAAACACACACGCCCCGTGGCTGTTGGGGGCATACAGCACTCTGCCAGAGAGCCAAAGGCGGCACAGGCAGCTGGGGCTGGGGGTCTAGCAGGCTGGGCTCTGGCACGTCTGGGGCTGTCTCCTACCTGCTGGGGCCCCCTGCTGTCTCCTGCCTAGCTCGACAAGGGCGACGACGACGACGAGGACGACGACGACGACGCGGACGCAGCCGAGGACGACTGCGACGCCGACGCCGACGACCGCGCGGCTTCGCCCAGGCTGCTGTGCGCTGCCCGCCCACCGGCAGGGAGACACCCAGCCACGTCGCCGCCCTCGGCACCACGAGCGGGTCCATGACCTTGGCCCCGTCCAGGGTGGTCTTGGCGGTGTCGGTGGCGAACCTGCGGAACGCCTGCGGGCCGGCGAGAGCCGAGCAGCTGCGCAGGCCCCCCGCTTGCCCCTCCAAATCCCCCCCCCCTCGCCCCTCCGGCTCTGAAGGTCCCCCTCCTTTCCGGGAGGGAGGGGCGGAGCGAGGCGCATCTATTCTGGCTGTCCGCCTCCTCCTCCGAGGGGGAGGAAGAGGAGGACGAGGAGGAGGAGGAGGAGGAGGAAGAGGAGGTCGAGAAGAGGGACCATCGAGGCCCCAGGATCTGGGATTTGGGCGCTTTGGGCTCCTCTTGGGCCCCCAGAGGTCTTCTCTGGAACCCGCGAGCGCGCATCCGCACATGCGTGCAGATGCATACGTGCACACCCCTGGGTCTACCAGTCTGAGCCCGGCCATGTCTGGCGCTGGCATGTGATTGACGCTCCCCTCTAGTTGATGGGCAGAATCCTGCGTCACCCGCGCGACCAGGGGGCCAGTGCAAATTTCAACGCGCCCCCCTTGCCCCCGAGTTAATGCTGGTTGGCATCGCCAGCGGGGCGCAGGACTTCGGCCAGTCGAGAGAGATCGACACCTCGTGGCCCAGCCCGCCCATGGAAAACGTCGGGGCGCGAGGGACGTTCACGAAAATCAGCGTACAAAGTGCAGGACTTCGCCCCTCGGCCCCCCCGCCCGAAAGCCTACGCGGGGGCTGCTCGGGGGGCGCGCCGCTGCGAAGCGGCGCCGCTCCTCCTCGGTGAAGCAGCCGTTGCTGCGCAGCAGGCGCATGCCGCGCCTGACCTTCGGGCGCCGGCGCGGGCGGGGGCGCGGAGGCCACGGCAGGCAGTGCGTCCAGGCCTGGACAGCAGGCCGGACGCGACAGCTCGGCGTCCGATCCTCGAGACCGTGCCCCCTGCACCTTCCCCTCCGTCCTTCCCCCTCCCTGCGCCCTGCCCCGCCCTTCCGGACTCGCCCCTCCCTCCTCACCTCGCACGACTGCTTCCTCGCCCGCTGCCCATCGCTCCTCTCAGTGCTCCTGCCATTCCCTGCTTCCACCATCCCTTCTCCTCCACCCGCCCTCCCCCGCCCCTGCGCCTCCTCCCCTCCAGCCCCTGCTTCCCGTCCCCCCCTCCTCCTCCTCCTCCTCCTCCTCCTCCTCCTCCTCCTCCTTCTCCTCCTCCTCCTCCTCCTCCTCCTCCTCCTCCTCCTTCAGCTGTGATCGGATCACTTCGGAGATGACAGCCAAGACGGCAGAGCTCCAGGCAGAGCGCGAGAATGAGCTGATGGAGCCGGAGGCTGGTGTGATTTTGCGAGCTGTGGCGACCCTGCTGGACTCCCATTCCTGCTCGTTGCTTGTAGCCGTGCGCGTTGGCTCTGGCAGATGGGGCCATGGGCCAGGTTAGGAGGAGGAAGGCGATTGAGCTGCCCTGGGAAGCCTCCACTCGAGTGGTGCGCAGCTTCGCAAGGCATCTTGTCGCAAGCCTGGCGCTCCTCCCCTGCTGGGGCAGGGGCAGGGGCAGGGCCTGACCGAATTTCGGAGCCATGCTTCCTGGCCCGAGACTGGCTCCCCCCGCCCCCGCCTCCTCCTCCTCCTCCTCCTCCTCCTCCTCCTCTCCTCCTCCTCCTCCTCCTCCTCCTCCTCCTCCTCCTCCTCCTCCTCCGCCTCCTCCTCCCCCTCCTCCTCCTCCTCCTCCTCCTCCTCCTCCTCCTCCTCCTCCTCCTCCTCCTCCTCCCCCTCCTCCATCTCCTCCTCTTGGGTCTGGCGCAGGGAACCGATGGGCGCTCTCGGGCGGGGTCAGGCGTTTTGTCTGGCACGAGAGGGCGCGTCCGTGGCAAAGAAGCCCAGCTGTGACATGCTTGCATCGCCAACAGCTCTGTATCTGAATCCTCCTCCTCCTCCTCCTCCTCCTCCTCATTCTCCTCTTCCTCCTCATTCTCCTCCTCCTCCTCCTCATTCTCCTCCTCCTCCTCCTCCTCCTCCTCCTCCTCCTCCTCCTACTCCTCCTCCACCTCGAAGCCGAAGCCTCGAAGCCTCGAAGCCTCCAAGCTGCGATCAGTAGAGCCTTCTCGAGAAGCAGCCCTGCCCCCCTGGGCGGCCCTCCTCTTCATCCTGCTCCCTTTCTCCCTCCCTCCCTCGGTGCCTGGAGGGGCCACGCTGGACAACGGGAGCCCAGGGCCGTGGGAGGAGAAGGGCTGCCCGGGGGCTACCATCTCGGCTACACGAAAACACGACAATAGGCAAGAGTGACCTTTGGTGCGCGACCTCGCGGGGGACTCGAGGTGGCCAAACTCGGGGGCGCAAGCCGCTGGTGCCCCCTTGCGCTCCTCGATCGGGGGACCCCATTTGGGCCAGCGCCAAAGGCCACTCCAGCAAAAGGTCACTCCTTACGTTAAGTCGACCGCAGCCCGGGGAGGGAAGGAGGAGGAGGAGGAGGAGGAGGAGGAGGAGAAGGAGGAGGAGGACGAGGAGGAGGAGGAGGAGGAGGAGGAGGAGGAGGAGGAGGAGGAGGAGGAGAAGGAGGAGGAGGAGGAGGAGGAGGAGGAGGAGGAGGAGGAGGAGGAGGAGGAGGAGGAGGAGGAGGAGGAGGAGGAGGAGGAGGAGGAGGAGGAGGAGGAGGAGGAGGAGGAGGACCCCGACGCCCACGAGCGGAGATGTCGACGGCCGACGGGCTCCAGCAGCCGCGTGCCGTCGCCGCGAGCGGGCCCCGAAGCACTGGCCGGCAGGCAGCACCTGCAGGGGCCCGTCGGGCTTGACCCCGGCGAGGCGAAGGGTCCTGGAGGTGCTTCCCTCGCGCCACGATTTGTCGGGGAGGGAAGCGAAGAGAGAGAGAGAAGGAGGAGGAGGAGGAGGAGGAGGAGGAGGAGGACGAGGAGGAGGAAGAGGAGGAGGAGGAGGAGGAGGAGGAGGAGGAGAAGGAGGAGGAGGAGGAATGTGATCAGCCGAAGCGCGGGGGCAGCCGAGATCGCAGCCGCAGCGGCCGCCTGCAGGCGGCCCCTCGGATCCACTCTTTGTGCTCCCGGGAGCGGTGCCGTCCCGAGCGGCAGCGGCGCCGGTTGCCTCCAGCGGCGCGACCGAGGACCGAGGCCCGAGGGCGCCGGCTGGGAGAGGGTCGGGCAGCTGTCGCGCGGCGCGACGCTCGTCGCCAGTCCTGGACTCGGCTGCGAGATACTGGGCCCGCCTCCAGCGGCGCCGGGTCGTGCCACGGCGTTGTCGACGCGGTCCGTCGGGCTGTGCTGCTCGGCCACCGCGGCCGCGTGACCGCCGGCGGCGGGAGAGGCGTTCTCGGCGCGACTCGCGATAGCGAGCGCGCTTCAGCGCGCGTTCCAAGCTCGACTCTGAAGACTGCTTGTGTGGCATACAAGGCTCTTGACCTGTGATCAGCCGAAGCGCCAGGCAGTCGGCCTGGGCTGGATCGCCTGTTGTCCATTCGGAAGCTCGCTGGAGCCCCAGGTGTCTTGAGCCACAGTGGGCGCGGTGCTTTGCCCCGTTTCCCTTCTGTGCTCTCCATGGCCATGCCGATGTTAGTTGCATGATGGGATCGACGTGCCCAGTGGACATGCGAAACGAGAAGGCGGCCGGAAACAAACCACACTCCACGCGTCGCACGTCCGCCGCGCGACTCGGAACCAGGAGGCGGCGGATACCAGCCGCGCTCCCAATGCCAGGACGCGCGTATGTTTCACAGCGTGGTTGGGCGGCCTGGACCCGAAAGGCGGCCAGATTACGGCCACGCTCCCAGAGCCAAGCAGCCAGGCTGATGCTAGCAAATACAAATG